AGGCAGCTCGGGAGGAGGACATAGCCTCCCAGGTGGGCTGGCCCCGCCGAGGCCGAGCAGTCTGGGCCCCTGAAGTTCTAGTTCTCGCTGTGAGTTAGTGATTTGGCTCCTCACACAGCCTGCCCACAGGGGAGGGATGTTTCAGCTGGAGGTGCCAGGGGCCCGTCAATGACAAGGAAAAATCTCCCTGTCCCCGGGTGGGGGAGCCAGTGTGACAAGCTGCAGAACCAGCTGTCCCCTCCCACCCCACGTGACCCTGTGAGGACACGGGGAGCCCAGACCACAGCCTCCTCTTACAGGGCCGCTGCAATGCTCGGAGGGCACATCTGGGGGGGTCACACCAGGGCCTTCCTAGCCCAGCCCCCGCAGGCTCCCTCCATCCCTCCCTTGGCTGGGGTTACCCCTGAGCCTCTCTGCCTCTTCCCTCCTCCATCCTCATGGCACCTCTCAGGGCAGGATCATGTCTAGGAGGGTCTTGTGAATTGTGACGTGGGCCCTCGGTGTGCAGGGCTGGAGCTCAGGACCCCAGGCTCTGGGCACCGCTAGGCTCTGCCCACACCCCCCAACACCCCGTGAGGGTAAGGGTCTTATCGGCAAGAGCCGCCCCCCCCCCAAAAAAAAGATGATAATAAAAAGTAAAGAAAAAGCAAGTTTTTTTCAGGTCTGATATGGGTGTTTGACTTCTGGTAACCCCGCTCCGGGGTTACTGCAGTTCCTCCCGGTGGCAGGTTGGCAAGTGCCCTCTGCCCCCTTATCTGGGGCCAGCTGGCCTGAGGATGACACACTGGCAGGAAGCCCGGCTGGCACCTGACACAGGGAGGGAGGGGGGTGACTTCTAGGTGAGTTCACACCGTGCGAGGGCACAGGGTGAGGGCTGGCGGGTGGAGAGAGTGCCCGTCCTCCTAGGGGAGGGCTGGAGGGTGGACGCTGGGAGGAGGAGGATGGGCAATAGGGCCCGGAGTCAGGGTGGGGCTGGCACACGGGCTGGGAATCCCAGTTCTGTGCCTTACAGCTGTGCAAGGTGTTTAACTCTTTGGATTCCCGTCTTCTCATCTGTGCGGATAGAGGTGACCTTGGCCTGGCAGGGCTGTGAGGGTCAAAGGGACACCCTGTTTGGTGGGGTGCCCCTGGGCCCTGTGTCTGCCCTCAAGGAGGGGGTCCCTGTCATCATGCTTATGGTAGGGCCCTTTCTACTCCAGGCCGTCCTGGGAGAAGGCTGGGCCCGCAGTCAGCTGTGGGGTGCGCCGTGGCCGCTGCTTCCCCAGCCCTGGCACACGGGTGCGGCCTGCCCAGCAGCACCGCGTTCCCCCGCACTCAGGGCTGGGCACCTGCTTTCAGGGCCGGCATCTGGGAGGCAACTCTCCCCACAGGAGTGAGGACAGTGTCCATGTGTCCCCTGAGGGCCACAGGCTGAGGGCTCAGGACCCAAGCAGAAGGGCCTCTCGGTGCTGGCAGAGCCATTTCACATCTAGAGGTTCATTGGCCGAGACCACCAAAGGCCCCCAGCTGGCCTGCGCCTGGGGACCCCCCCACACACCACCCCGTGCCTTCTGGCTCGATGCCTCTGTGGATGCAGCTTTAAGATTCCCTGGAGGCCTCCCAATTTCAAATATCCTGTTTCTGTATAGAGCAGTGGTTCTCAACCTTCTGGCCCTTTAAATACAGTTCCTCATGTTGTGACCCAACCATAAAATTATTTTCGTTGCTACTTCATAACTGTAATGTTGCTACTGTTATGAATCGTAATGTAAATATTTGATATGCAGGATGGTCTTAGACGACCCCTGTGAAAGGGTCATTCAACCCCCAAAGGGGTCGCGACCCACAGGTTGAGAACCGCTGGTATAGAGGCTGAATAAAGGCCATGATTCCAGACATTGATCCAAACTCTCTTGGATTCCACCCGCTCCAGCTTGGCACCCGTCGAGTTTTTAATCTTGTGTGTGCGCAGGGGTGGCTATGTCAGCAGCTGCCTTTTCCAGGCCTCGTTTCTAGCATTTGATGCTAGCGCCCATTCTGCCCATCCCCACCCTCGGTCCCGCCCCCTAATCTATCCACCAGGCTCGGGGGGGCCCTGTGTCCCAGGCCACGGCCTGGCTGGCTCACCGTAGAAGTCAGCGGGGTTGCTGTAGCGAGGACAGGGGTGGCCAATGGCGGTGAAGTACTGGACCATGTGCTGGGCCGCCCCCAGGTAGATGGTGATGCCCGACGCCATCAGGAGGACCAGGTCGAACAGCCGGAAGATGTCGGAGCGCGGCTGGTGCAGGGAGATGAGCACCAGCCTGTTGCCCTTGGCCAGCCGGGACAGGGTCTTCACCAGGTTGTGGGCCGTGAAGCTGTCGAGCCCCGAGGTGGGCTCATCCAGAATGAGGATTCCTTCCGGGGGAGAGAGAGGAGCCTGGTAAGTGGGCAGGAGCCTGTCTAAACCAGGCTAAGCCAGGTGGGCGACCCAGGCCCCTCATGCCCGTCCGGCACCCACAGCCCTCACCTGGGTTCCACAGAAGCTGCACCCCGATGCTGACTCTCCGCCGCTCGCCCCCCGACACCCCCCGCACGTAGGTGTTCCCCACGCGCGTGTTGGCGCACTGCCGCAGCCGCAGCTCCGCGATCACGTCGTCCACCTGAGGACCAGAGGGGCCCGGGCCTCGCTCAGGGCCAGACGTATTTTGCTCCAAAGTATCAAAACACCTGCGTGTCTGGATGGGTTTAAAGCCCCAGCCTTCGTTTCCCTGATACACTGTGTCCCCTGACTCTGCCCATGTACGATGTCGTGTGTTGGGAATGTGGCTGTGTCTTGGACACAAGGCAGTTGGACAAACACTCAACATGGAGGACCACAAAACAAACGCTCCTCACACATTTTGGCACCTGCTGTGAAGGGAACCAACTGGGCTGAGATGGCTTACAGAGGGCTATGGGGCTTTAAGGGCTGGTGAAGGGCAGGGCTGAGCCTACAATAGATGGGTGGATGGATGGATGGATGGATGGTGAGCTGGGTTGTTCAAACCACTGGTGGCTGGGTCCTGAGGCAGATAGAAGGAGGATGTTATGGTTTTTGGGGTCATGGGGTCAGTTACCCTTTTATCACGCTGGGCCTGGGAGAAGGTTCTGGGCAGGCGCAGCTGGGCCACGAAAGCCAAGGTCTCGCGGACAGTCAGGTTGGGGAGCAGCTGGTCGTGCTGGCGCACGTGGGCCACAGACTTCCTCACCAGCTGGGGCGTGCTGGGCTGCCCGTTGATCCAGATTTGACCTGACTTAATTTTGCCACCGTGGCCTCGCCCAGTGATCACGTCCAGCAAAGAGGCTCTCCCACAACCTGCAAAGCCAACAGAGACATCCCTGAGATCACAGAGTCTGCGGGGCCAGCCTGGAAGCCACGGTGACCCTGGGCTGTCAGTCCTCACAGAAGGGACCGGTCCTAGGGAAGGGGCACCGCACGCAGCCCTGGATGGGGCAGCCCAGCACTGGAGCTCCAGGCCTTTGCCCACAGCCAACCTGAGCACAGTGACGCGGGCACAGTGATGCTGGGGGCTGAAGCCAGGCCCGCCAGGCGCTGAGTGGCAGAAGAAGGATGGAGTTTGGGCTGCCACAGGTCTGCCTGTGCCTGGAGTGTGTCCCCTCCCTCGGAAGCAGGGCTGACATTAACTGCACAGGGAAGCTGAACTATTTGGGGCTGGCAAATATGCCAGTGGCATTTCACCATTCAACTCGTTTGGCTCAGAAGCTGGCTTTGTGGGAAGGACTAATTTGAAGAATTAATAGGGTGTCTTTTAAAAAATGTGAAAGTGAATCTATTTTCAGAAATTAGGGAGAAAAAATAGAAAAGAAATAAATGTGGTAATGATTTTAAAACTACAGCACAGTGTACATGTGTGTTCTGAGTTCCTCTCCACCTTTTACATGCTATTATTTTAAAAAATTTTTAATTGATTTTAGAGAGGGAGGAAGAGATAGATAGATAGATAGATAGATCAATTTGTTGTTTCACTTATTTATGCATTCATTGATTCTTGTATGTGCCACAACCAGGGATCAAACCCACAACCTTGGGGCATTGGGATGACGCTCTAACCAACTGAGCTACCTGGCCAGGGCCTACATGCTCTTATTTTTATCAGTGATACTATTTACTCTCTCTAAAAAAAAACAACAACAACAACACAACAAAACAATGATCATTGCACACAAATGCATACCACCCACTTCTGAATGACGTAGAGATCGCTGTCGTTTGGGGAAGTGTCACATTGCACCAGGATTCCGGATGCTCGATGAGACTCTTTCTTTGACAGCCATTTAAACCGTGAAAGAGAACTGGAACAAATGCATACCACCCACTTCTGAATGACGTAGAGATTGCTATCGTTTGGGGAAGTGTCACATTGCACCAGGATTCCGTATGCTCGATAGACTCTCTCTTTGACGGCCATTTAAACTGTGAAAGAGAACTGGGCTCAGGATCTGAGAACACCTTTTGGGACAGAGCTGGAAAGAGCCTGTCTGCTTGCCCCCAGGTGGGAGCCTGCCTACAAATCCCTTTTAGAGAGCAAGTCTTCCAAGCTGTTTCCAAACAAGGAAGGTGCCAACACACGTCAGGTAACAGGTCCTTGGCACAAGCCAAGCGCCTCCTGCAGGCAGCCCCGGGAACTCTGTGCAAAAAAATAAAAATCGAGAAGCTTCCCCAGGGACCCTTCTGCACAGGGATCACAGGTTTTCGGGGTAGAAAGGGAACTGCACGCTGCCTCCTGGGTGCACCTCTTTCAAGGTCCCTGAGAACTGAGGTGGAGCCAAGTAGCCAGGAGAGAACCGAGAGAGGTGGGCTCTGGCCCTGCTCAGCCTCGGACATCAGCTCCAGGCTCTGGGAGCGCAGGGGACTTTGCCAACATTCGCCGGGACTGTGGGATTCCCAGTCAGGAGGGGAAAGGCCATGTTTCCAAAACAAGACTTGGTGAGTGTTAGGTCACCTCTGACCTAACACTTTGGGTGCTGGCGCCATTTTAGGGCTCAGCCCATCTGGGTTTCCAGATGACCTAATAAATTCATGATTCTTTACCCCTTTGGGCCTCGTGCGTTCCTCCTTCGGCAACCCCAACAGTGAGAGCAGTGGGTGCCTTTCCAGCATTTGGTACGACTGGGGAGACCCTCCTGAACCAGGAGCAAACACTTGCATTGGAGATCCTCATAAAAGGGATCTCCGAAACAGTAAATTCATTTATGGGAGAACACCTTTGGCACTGCTGATTCATAGAAGACGCTAAAATGCCTGGGCTGTTTTATTTTTTAAATTATAACTAGAAACTGATTAATAAAATAGATCCAGACACATAGAAGCATGGAACAGGCTGTGTAATCTCAGGGGGAGTCGGTAGGTGGGTGGGAAGAGATCAACCAAAGAACTTGTATGCATATATGCATAACCCATGGGCACAGACAATAGTGTGGTGAAGGCCTGGGGTTGGGGGCAGGGACCCGCTAGAAGGAGTCAATGGGGGAAAAAGGGGACATATGTAATACTTTCAACAATAAAGATTGAAAAAAACTATAACCAGAATTATTTTGTCCGAGTGGAGTAAATGTCACAGGTATTATTGATAACACTTTCTAAGAAATCATCTTAATAATTTCTGCCAAGTAAACCCGAAGCTAAACCCACTGAGCCTATGGTCAAAGGACCTGGAGGCTGCTCAGTGCAGCATCTCCCAACCAGGGATGCTGACAGCTGCCGGGCTCTGGGCAGCGAGATGGCCTGGTCTCCTAGATCAGTGGTTCTCAACCTTCCTGACGCCGCGACCCTTTAATACAGTTCCTCATGTTGTGGTGACCCCCAATTTCATTGTTACAAATTGAACATAATTAAAGCATAGTGATTAATCACAAAAACAATATGTAATTATATACGTGTTTTCCAATGGTCTTAGGCGACCCCTGTGAAAGGGTCGTTCGACCCCCAAAGGGGTCACAACCCACAGGTTGGCGACCCACAGGTTGAGAACCGCTGGTCTAAAGAAACCATTCTCAACACAGCAATCAGAATGCTTCTTTAAAATGTTAATCAAATCAAATACAGTTGGTCTCATTAGTGGTTATGGTCCATAAATTTGCCACAAACCCTGAATTAGAGAATATTGAACCACTGCTCCAGGAGAAATACAGGGTAAGGTTCTTGCCAGACTCTGGTCACACTTGCATATGAATCAATACATAACCATGTTTTATGAGTGTTTCTATCTAATGATGCTGGTTTAATATATATTATTGATTCGGTAACATTGAACTCAATATAACTCATGCCTGTAGAAAGCTTATCTAACACACCCATTTTTCTCTGTAAGCACATCACAGCTTTCTTGCACTTTGGAACATTAGGCAGTGCTTCAGCACTATGCTTGGGAGCCTTTTTTTTTTTATCCTCACCCTAGAATTTTATTTTTTATTCTTTTTATAAATATACTAGAGGCCTGGTGCACAAAATTTGTGCACTCACGGGGGTCCCTCAGCTTGGCCTGTGCCCTCTCACAGTCCGGGGGGCGGGCAGAAGGCAGGGGAAGACATTCTAGAAATATGGAGGGCTAGATAATTTGAAAACCCTCCTGTGAAGATGCTTCCAAACAGGTAAGGAGAAAGAACGGTAGTAGACAATGATGACAGTGGACTCTGGTCTCCAAGCCCCTTCCACCCCGCCTTCTGCAAAGCCAAGTCTGGCCCGTGGAAGTGACTGTTTGAGGCCCTGCAAGCATCTGGACCTGTGCAGATGATTGAAGTTTGGGCCCAGAGTTGGAGGGGCTGTGTCTACCTACTGTCTGACCGTAACCGGAATCTGATTGTGGGGGAGCCATGAGTGCTCTTGTGGTGGAGGAGTCCCCTGAAAAGCTCATTCACTTCTGAAGCTGCCTGAAGGTCTTGGGAGGTTTTTGACTTGTCTCAATACAGGTGTTACACTGCAGCTTCAAAAGGCTCCGTCCTGATTCCACACCAAGGCTTCTCAGCAATTGCCTGAGAGCTGGGAATGGAGCAGCAGAGATTGGAACCCAGGTCTGTCGGCCCCAGAACCTGTGCTCTCTAACACTCTGCTGCAGTGTTCTACTCGTCAGTAAGGGTTCTGTGAGAAGCATGCATCTGTCCAAGGGACCATTCTGCATCCCACTACCTGCCCTTCGCGGTACCTGAGCTCCCTATGATGGCCAGCATCTGCCCACTCCTCACTTTGAAGCTCAGGTTCTGGATGCCCAGCTCACAAGAGTCCTTGTGAGAGGCCCAAGGCATCTTAAACTGAGCCAGCTGCTCAAACCAAGGCACCTGGGAGGCCGCGTCCACCTGTGGGGAGACATCAGAAGGTTCCTCAGAGAGCTGGGGGCTCGGCAGCTTCGGGAGCTTCTGTTCGGCTCACTGCAGGAGCCCTCCTTCTGCTGATATAACAGGCCCCTGGGGCTCCCCACCAGGCTCTACCAGGCACGGAGGCCGAGCCCACCCTCCTGAGAACCTGGAGCTGCCATTTCCAAGTCTGAAGATAACACATGGGGAATGTGTGTAATAGCAGAACAGAAATAAAGACACCTGAAGTAAAACGATGCCTTCACTCAATAATAATAGGAATTTACCAAATGTTTACTCTGTGCAAGGCCTTGTATTAATCAATTTATATTCATTATCTCATCCAATCTTCATTGCAAACCTATTACCTGGGTATGATTGGAATCCCTGTTCTAGTAAAGCTCAGAGCAGGTAAGTGCTAGTAAAGCACAGAGCTAGCAAGTGGCAGTGCAGAGAGAGGTCATGGCATGGCTCATGAGCTCGTCCCAACTCACCTCCTCAGGAAGCCAGAACTGGGCCTCCATCCCCGGCCCCACCGTATTCCAACTGGGCCACCTGGGGCCTGCCCCTGGGGAAGTGTGGGAAAGGCACTTGCACTCTGATGTTGTATTAGCTCCAGTGACAGTACATTTAAAAAAAGATTCAAAAAGTGAAAAAAATCTACCTAAAGTCTGTAGTGTAGTGACTAGTCTCCTACCACTGCAATACCTTCGTTTTGATAACTGTGCTGTGGCCTACGGGTAAGCAAGATGGTAACATCAGGGAAAGGGGGACAAAGGGTAAGGGGAACTCTGCACTACTTTCGCAACTTTTTCAAAAGTCTAAACTTGTTTCAAAATATACAGTTAATAAAGTGTCTTAGAGATTTTTCTCCCCACAGGTTCACACAGTTTGCTTCAGGTTTTAACACAGGTCTCTGTTTACGCCTGGAAACCCCCGTGCCGTTGAAGGGACCTCCGTGGGGCTTGCACCCACCCCGTGGGGCAGTACCACGGACCCTGCTCTGTCTTTGGGAGCAGAGGGCCCCCTTCCCTGCCACGTAGGCAGCGGTTCTCAACCTGTGGGTCGCGACCCCTTTGGCGGTCAAACGACCCTTTCACAGGGGTCGCCTAAGACCATCCTGTATATCAGTTATTTACATTACGATTCATAATAGTAGCCACATTACAGTTATGAAGTAGCAACGAAAATAATTTTGTGGTTGGGTCACAACATGAGGAACTGTATTTAAAGGGCCAGAAGGTTGAGAACCACTGCACGTAGGGGACTGCTTGGCCCTCTCTGCCCGCTCTTCCCACCTTGTTCTCAGGGTGCCTCTACCTGGTAGCTGAGGCCCTGGACCTCCAAGGTGTTGGACGGGCCACTGTAGGTGAAGTACAGGCTGTTGTCACTTTCCGAGGAGAACAAGCTGTCCTGCAGGCCCTGCAGGGAGACATGACAAGGTGGGGGGCTCTTTCAGAAGCTGCCGAGGACACAGGATAAGCTGGGGGAGGCCCGGCAGGCGAGAGCAGCAGCTAGTGTGGCTGAGATCCCGAATTGGCAAGACATGGATTTGGGCAGGCGGAGAGAATGGGAGCCTCGATGAGGGCACATCTCCTCTTCCCGTAGAGACAGCTTTAGGACATCCCTCACCCCCCACCCCCAGTCCAGCTCCTGGCCCCAGAGAACCTCCACTGCAGGCTGGTGGGCCGTGAACCCAGGCGGCCCATGGTGGATGAGAACCGGTCTCAGGACTGGAGGGAGCTTTGTGAGCCTCTGTGCTCTGGGAAGACCTGAGCTGGGAAACGGCCTTTGACTGGCTCTTCCCTGCGTCTGACTTGGTATCTCCTAATGTCCAACAGGCTTTACATATCAGCCTGTGAGAGGAAAAGCGCTAGTCAACAAGCCAACGCTCCAAGTTTATGAGGACACCATCCTTAGGAGAGTTGCATCTTATTTTGATGAGGAGTTTTGCGCAACAAAGCTACTGAAAATGCTGATGGGAGATTTCAAAGGAAGTCCCTTTCTCCTTATTTTGATGAGGAGTTTTGCGCAACAAAGCTACTGAAATGCTGTTGGGAGATTTCAAAGGAAGTCCCTTTCTACCTGCTCCTGCTGTTCCTCCTCCTCCTCCATCTTGTTGCTATTATTGTTGGAGTGGTGCTGTATTTGAACGTCCATCAAACAAATAGATGTTTTGTGGTATCAGCTGATACCTTTGAATGGTACTAACCATCTGCAGATCTGAATTCCTTCTATTTTATCAATTCAATCATTTAATCATTGCAGCCTAGAAAAAAAGACCCTGCCCAGGAAAAGTTTCCGTTTTTTAATGCATTCAAATTTCCCTCTATTCTGCAGGGCAGGGAAAAGTATGTACTCGATAACGAGTTCCTGTTGCCTCTAGTCTCCTTCCCTCACAGGCGCCAGTCGCACGCGGATGCATTCCTTCAGCCAATCAATCAAGCATCCAACAAACACCTATTGGGAGCCCACGTCACGTTTCAGGCATGGACTGTGGGATGTGACCGTGGAAAAGGCAGTCTTTGAGAAGCTTAGATTTTAGCGGGTGAGATAGGCGATTGGGATGGAGCAAGACAGGCAAGACATAGAGGCAGGTTGGCCTCAAGCAGCCAGGCAGGGTGTATTTTCGCTCTGTATACAAGGTGCTGTGTGGGAAAACAACACGACTTATGGTTTCTGTGAAAATAACACCAGCCAGTCTTTGTGAAAGCCTCGCTGCGATGGTGGAGGCGAGAGGTCCTTGGAACGGACCTTCGGAGCAGTGAGTGGAAGGAGATAAATACAGGTGACAGCCAGCGGCAGGCCCCCTGCGAGAGGCCCACAGATTTCTGGGAGAGTCTGGAACCAGCAGACCATCGCTACTTACCTAGTTTAATGTTAGAACTACTACCATTAAGATCCTAAGTTATACAGGAAAACATGGGAAGATAAACAGCTGATTCGGCAGAAGCACTATCTTTGGGGAACAGAACGGAGAGGGATATTTAAGGGAGGAGGGTAAAGGGGGTTCGGGGTCGGGCTCTTGGCGATTACACGAGGGTTCACTATTCTTTCAACTGAACTGTCTGAAATATTTCAAAATGTGTTTTTAAATGGAGAGAGCTGGCCAGCGAGTAGAACTCCAGCTTTCTACTCCTACCTCGACCACCAGCTGCTAATGCCTCTAAGACATGAGCCAGGGGTGGAGGTGGAGGAGGTGAGAGGGTCCGAACCCTCGGAGGCAGAGAAGTAAGCTCCTGGGAAGACCAAGAGCAGATCAGAAAGCTGCTGGGTTCTAGCCCGGCCCGGCCCTGACCCTCCCCTACCATCCCTACCACCAGCATCCGCAGCGCCTAGCTTTACCATTTAATTTTGTTACCTTACCAGAGAGTCTACGGGCTAATAAGCATCCTGTTTGCTTGTTTTTAAACAGCAAATATCTGCAGGAAGGATAGTAGTCAATGAGTATAAGGCATGAGTTAGCTCAGAAATTGCTTCTGCGAACAAACATCTGGCCCTCCCCAGGTTAGATTTCCGGGGGAGGGGCTGCTGAGAAAGGAAAGTCGGACAGTTTGGAATCTGGAGGCAATCTCAAGCCGGCGGGGGGGTGTCCACTTTCCAGTTAGTTAGGCAGGTGCTCTGAGGAGGTGAGGGTGTTGGGGCTCAGAGGAGAGAGCATCCCCTGCGCCCTGGACCGGTTGGGGCAGCCCAGACCCCAACCACCCTCAGGGGACTGTGCCTTCGGGAGCAGCACAGGCAGCTGGACTTTCCGAAGAAGAGCATCTGTGGCCTCTGTTCCATGTGAAATATTTCCCTGGGCTCCCAGGAAGGATTTGTGAGACTCTTCCTGAGGTTTTGACAAACTCGCTGTATTTTTCAAATACTTAAATATCTATTCGGCTGACATCTTAATCAGTACGACTGTCAGAACATCACTGGGATTTCTGACAGGTGACACCCAAAAAAGCAAAAGCAGGTTTATTTGTAGGTAACCAGCTCGGCTCCTGCTGGGCTACACTGTAATTTCTCCTTCTATTAACTTCTGATCAAACTCCTCAGCCGGAGCATAGAGAGGGAGACTGGGGAGCACAGAGCACAGGGTCCTCCGTCTGAGATGAGGAGCCCGTGCCCTGGACAAGCCGTGACGTGCTGAGGACACACACAGGCTTTGCTCTCGGCGGAGGGGACCAGCCGGGCCCTTTTCTAAAATGTCCTGCTCAGGTCTCACACACACAGCTCTGCCCTGAGGCCTGGGCCCCTCTCATCCTCCTCTGGGCAGGATCCCGCCCATGGACTGAGGCGTCTGTGACTAAGGACACTGGCCGCCCCACGGACCAGAATCTCAAAATTCCCCTGAGCAAATGACCGCAAGTGCACTCTCAGGGCCTGGGTGGACCTTGCCCAGGCCCCTCCTCCTGACGGACAGTACTGCCCAACTGGGCGCCCCAGGCCACGGCGGCATCTGTCTGTGGAGAGTGTTTCTGGAATGTGGGTGGGCCGGGTGGGTGTGTGAGGTCACGTGTGGAGCTGGGGGTGGGCAGAGGAGGGAGACAGGCTGTGGTTTGGGCTGGAAGCTGGTTTCCCTGGGATAGCACATTCTAGTTGTCCCTCCAAGAAGTTCTAGAATTTTTATTTTATTTTTAATTTATTGGTTTTTAAAGAGAGAGAGAGGAAGGGAGAGGAAAAGAGGGAAAGAAGGAGAGGGAGGAAGGAAGGAAGGGAGGGAGAGAGAGAGAGAGAGAGAGAGAGAGAGAGAGAGAGAGATTTGTTGCTCCGTTTATTGATGCATTCATTGGTTGATTCTTGTACATGCCTTGACTGGGGATCGAACCAGAAACCTTGGCTCATCAGGATGATGCTCCAACCAAATGAGCTACCTGGCCAGGGCTGAAGTCCTAGAAGTTTTAAATTTACACCTGGCATTCCAGGTTGTGGGGAAGGTACATGAAGGTAAGAGGATATAGACACTATTTTTATTTAATAGTTTTTAGCTTAACTTTAAAATATCTAGACATATGATATGTAGCCCTCATCTTCTGGTTCTCTTGGCACCTCGAGTAACAGGATTGGAGAAAAGAGAATGGGCACCACGGATTCCTGCCTGCATTCCTGGAGGTCGGCTTCCTTAGCCATGGTGGCTGCACTGTCAGACCCTCTAGGACAGTGGTTCTCAACCTTCTGGCCCTTTAAATACAGTTCTTCATGTTGTGACCCAACCACAAAATTATTTTTGTTGCTACTTCATAACTGTAATGTTGCTACTGTTATGAATCGTGATGTAAATATCTGATATGCAGGATGGTCTTAGGCGACCCCTGTGAAAGGGTCGTTTGACCGCCAAAGGGGTCGCGACCCACAGGTTGAGAACCGCTGCTCTAGGAGAAAGTCAGCCACCGTGGAGTTTACATCCTGGTCAGGCTGTGAGCATGGCAGTCACGGCTCCTGGGAGTCATTTCCTGCTGGGCTCAGCCCGTGGGCATTCCCAGAGCATAGCTGGTCATCTGCTGTGGCGGCGAGCTAACCAGGAATGGTGGGTCCCTTGGGCCTGGCTCAAGTCAGCAACTCAAGGCCAGTCAGGTGGCTGTGGCCTTGCCCATGGTGTGTGGCGTCCTCGGTGACTCTTGTCTCTCTCTCTTTCCCAGAGGAGGCAGACACAGGAAGGTAGGGTCGGGTGAGGCAAGGTGGAGGGTGGGGATCCTTTCAACCTTCCCATTTAGCCTCCAGCTTCAGATCCTGCCCACACCCCAATTTTAGTCAAAGGCCATTTCTCCAGTGAGCATTTCTTTTTAAAAAATATATATATTTTATTGATTTTTGACAGAGAGGAAGGGAGAAGGATAGAGAGTTAGAAACATCGATGAGAGAGAAACATCGATCAGCTGCCTCCTGCACACTCCCTGCTGGGGATGTGCCCGCAACCAAGGTACATGCCCTTGACCAGAACCGAACCTGGGACCCTTGAGTCCGAAGGCCGACGCTCTAACCACTGAGCCAAACCGGTTAGGGCCAGTGAGCATTTCTTATGTGGAATGAGGGCAGAAACCTTGGACCCCAGCCTCTCGGCCCCTGGCTGTCGCCTGTCCCTTCCAGCTCTCTCTGGGATCGCACAACTGCCTGCTGTAGCCACATTTTGAGCATAAACCCGATGTTCCCACAGACGTCACCTGCCATCCGGTCTCATGGGTTTACTGCTGCTGAGATTCTGAGCTCGACTCCCAGGAAATGGAGTCCAGCTGCCTCGGTCTCATTCTACTTGTGGACAGAAGGTTCCCGAGGGAGGAAAATAAGGCCCCATTCACCCCCACCCAGCAGGATGGAGGTGACGCCCCATCACTCACCGAGGCATCCTGGGGAGCAGCCCTGGTCTGCAGCCCTCTGTTCTCTGGGGCCGTCTGAGCCATGGGGCCCGGCAGCGTCGGCGTCCCTTGCTGCGAATGCTTTGGCCCTTAGCTGCCACCTGCCAGCGCCAGTGTTTTCTCTCTGTCCCGGAGCTGAGCAACCTCTGGCCCTCGCTTGATGAGCCACTGTCTGTCTCCCAGCATTCCTCTCTGGCCAACCTTCCCACACACACAGCATGTGTGCTCTGCCCACTGCCAAGATAACACACGACTCTGGCTAAAGGTACATCAGATAATGCCATCTGTGGCCAAGCCCCTTCCCGCCGCGGGGCAGGCCCAGCGAGGGACTCCGGGGCCCCGTGAGGAGCCGGCGGGCCGTCAGCTGCTGGCTCCTCCGCCCAGGCCACTCCGCGAGGTCAGGCACCAGAAAGCCCTCCTGTCTGTGCTGCCTGTTGACCATGAGTGAACTCCCATCCTCGACCCCCGTGGGGCCCTCAGGACTCCAGCTAAGCAAAGGCCCCCGGGGCTCCTCGGAGGAGGCTCCTGCAGCTGCATCAGAGCCTCGGCACAGCCTGGGCGTCTTCCACGCCTCCTACAGCGTCAGGTAAGCGGGCGACGGCCTACTCACCCCTCTGCTGGCTTCTCACTGATGGGGGGCATATTTGGAGGCTTTGGCTACCTCTTCAGTGGATCGAGGTGGAGAGAAGGGAGGGAAGGGCTGCCAGTGAAAAAGGAGGAACAAGGGTGCACGGCCCCTCCTCCTGCCACAGAGGACCTGGCAGCTACGCCGAACACGGCAGCTGTGCCCTGCCTCGTGCCCCGGTGCCCCTTGCCCCTTCCCATGTGTCCCCCTTGTGTACGATCTGTTTGATGTGGATGGAGAGGGCTTGGGGATTGGGGTGCTTGCAACAGGAGGTGCAACGAAGACTGGTGAGAAAATGCAGGGTCAACCGAGGGATAAGCAGCGTCCTGCTTGCCACCTCCCAGCCACCAGAGAGCTGGAGCGCAGAGCAGCGGCCGGCGGGTGCTTTCCAGAGGTGACCCTCGGCCGCTACTTGCCAGGGTCCGCAGAGGAGGACACTGAGGCTGAAGGACGCTTAGCGACGTGTCCAGACATAACTGGCATCAGTGCTGGGGGACAAAGTGTGGCCCCTTCTAAGACCCCACTCTGCTTTTCCCTCGTGGGATTTCCTTTAAAGCTACCGCGTCGGGCCCTGGTGGGACATCGCATCTCGTCGGCAGCGGTGGAACAGGCAGATCCTCAAAGATGTCTCCTTGTACGTGGAGAGCGGGCAGATCATGTGCATCTTGGGGAGCTCAGGTAAGCTCTAAACTCTCGCTGAGGATTCAGAAAAGGCTGTGTGGCTTGACTTGAACCCCACAATGAGGAAACAGGTTTAAGTTGTAGCAGCGTTCCTAATAAGTTTGATATTGGAATGAAATCTAATGACATGTCTGACTGTGAATGCAAGCAACCTGGTACTATTGTGAGACATTTAGAAAGATCCTTGAAAAAGTCCTGCCTAACATGTAGGTTAATTCATATTTCTTTTTTTAAAATGTATTTTTATTGATCTCAGAGAGGAAGTTAGAGGGAGAGAGAGATAGAAAAATCAATGATGAGAGAGAATTATTGATCAGCTGCCTCCTGCAT